AAAGAAAATGAACAGACTTTTATGTAAGAAACAAATTACCAGTTATAAATCAGCTGAACTAGTATAACTCATATATTTGTGGTGTAACAATACATATTTCATAGTGTTTTAATATTCCAGTCATAATAGTGTTTGCTGAACTATATGCTCTTAAACTTAATGCAAAGCTTATGTACGAGATTTTTGCAAAACATTACAGTGGTTTCTTTATAAGCTTACTAAAGAGTGTTGAGAGAAAAACCAGGAGAGTGAGGAGAACGAAGGGTAGCTGTGTTGTTATACTGTTAGGAGCTGTGTGATCAAGAAGTTAGCAGAATTCCACTGGAATGCCTGTGTTAGAGAGAACATTTTCTATGAATCAACACACCCAAGATAACTAAGAACACTTTCAAAGTTCACAATTGAAATGCAGCATTAACAGGTGTAACATGGTGTAATAGGTGTTTTTTGTCATAGAATGAATACAAAATGCTTTTAGACTTTGACTGACTATATCTTATCTTCCAAAATTGATACAAACAAATATGTGGAGGAAGCCTATACTTTATAAATGTGACCTAGTCTCCTATAGATTGCTGTCATATAAAACTGGAGGATATGTAATGCCACAATGATGTCCAGCTGCAACATTCTGTTTATAAGCGATAAGTATGACAAGTTGTCAGGGATGTACTGATTGGTTGAGCATTCAAAACACGGAGCTTTAACACCAGTTATGGTAAATGGTCTGTATTTATATAAAGCTTTTCTAGTCTTGATGACCACTCAAAGCTCTTTACAGTACAGTTTGCCATTTACACACACATTTATACAGTGCATCTATTAGCAGCACTTTTTTTTCTATGAGGGGCAATTTGGGGTTCAACATTTGGGAAGACTGGGGATTGAGCTGCTGACTTTCTGGTTGGAGGATGACCACTCCACCCCTCAGCCACAGACGCCCCAGTTCACATCCTCTCTTGTGCTTCAAGTGTTCGAGTGTTGAACCATTAAAGGGATAGTTCACTGAAAAATGAAAATTCACTCATTGCCCACTCACCACTATGCAGATGGAGGGGTGGAAGAGCTGACATTCATATTTGACTCAAAACAGAATCATTTCCTCCAAGTTTTTAACAGAAAAGTCTGCAACCAGATGTAGCAATGCTAGCAGATGTAGAGACGCGTGTTGCAAATGAAGCAGTTTTGAGTCAAATATGAATGTCTGGACACCTCGATGACCACACAGGAGCAGTATGGATATATTTTTCGTTTTTTTTAATTACGACCGAAGAGTCACCAGTAACTTCAATTGTATTAGATTTGGCAGCAACACTGTTTACCCTTGAAACTCCAAAATTGTTTTGTGAACTCAAACACTTCACCCACCCCTCCATGAGTGAATTTTCATTTTTCATGTTCTATCCCTTTAACCAAACAGTTTGCTATTACTAAAGGTTTATTTCCAGGAGAGGATACTGTCGGAAATTTAATGATTCATGTTGTATTAATAAAGGAATAAGCCAGAAACTGCTTTGATAGAAGAAGCAAGGGAAAATGTATTTAAACTAATCATCATAAATTCAAATTATAATCTATATTTATGATCATGTTCTACGGCACTAAATTTGTCAAAACAAATTCAACTCTCAGTCATCACAAGAGTAAACTGTGAAGATCCATTCACCTCTCAGCAGCTGCAAACAAAACTCTTCCGTCCTTGTTGTTACAGTGTTTTAATGTAGTCTATTTTCATTTGGGTCGGGGGTGAAGGCGTGGGTGGGATGTTATATTATTCAGTGCGCTGATCCAGGTGTGAACCGCCAAGTAGTTATTTGGTAACATTGACTGATTGCTGCCTGATTTAATTTTGCAGCAACCACACTGTATTATTCATGGACTGGCACTTTTAACTTGGTAATTACCAGCTGGTGGGACTCAGTGGGATTCCTGTGGTTGTGTCAAAAACAGCTCACTCAGTAAATTCACTTACACAAATGCACGCAGGAAGCACAATTTTTTTTACAAAGGCAAGTTGATGCCTTTTGTCTTTAAGGAAATTTTGTTGCATTGTTCATTTTGTCATCTACATATACAGTCTGCTAAAATTGTTATGAAAACTTAAATTTTTTGTGTTAGTCATAAATGGCCTCTGAGTAGCATTTAAGCACATTCATCTGATAATCCAGGCAGAGTAACAGATTCATACATCTGAATCCTGCTGTTTCTGGTCTGAATCCCCACTGAGACATAAATATGCATTCATACTTCCATCACTGGTCGTGTGTGTATGTTTCCATAGTTTTGGTGTGGGGTTGGTTAAGTTATAAAAGTACTCTAATTTTTATATGAATATTAAACATTTTTAAATGTGTTCAAAAATCGTTTAACTGTAATGATGTGCTCAAACACAACAGGTCTTGCCTTTTGTTCCAGTGGGAGATGATACTGTCCCTCTGTCTATCATATCAGTAAACAAGGCTAATGTTATAATTTCACTGTCAAAAAATGGGGAAAGCACCAAACTGGAGACTATAAGGGCAGAATTCATTTGATGTTATTTGGTTTGCACTGTTATTTGGTTTGCACAGTTTCAGCTAGACAGGAAACAGTGCAACCTGCACTCACTAGCTGCCATGAGCACTAGCTGAGCAAGTGGGCTGCTGTTTATATAGGACATTGTTACAGCAAAAGTAGATATTCCCCTTCCTGGGTGCTGAGTTCCTGTGTGCTTGTGGGTTGTTGGTGTATATCATGGGCTGCCACTTGTTTGGCACTGTGACTTATTGTTCCTATGCATGTACACTCAATGGACTAGGTGCCATGGGGCTGTCTAGCATGCTCTCAACTAAGTGGCCCAGTTCCAAAGTCTAACACAGCCCACCATCACATCCATCACAACCAAACATGGGATGGAACGTCACAAGCTTACTATTGCCAGTGTTGAGTTGAAGAACACGGAGCACCTAGACATCATTCCAGGGTCTTCACCGCTGCATATTATGGTAGGTGCTTGTGTTGTGATGTCTCGCACATGTCTCACCTACAGACTCTCTTCGAGCGGCTTAGTCAGCATGGCCAAGTTTCAGTTTGGGAGGTCAACTATTAATTTCTTGGGAACCACATAACTTAGAACTGAGCAGTCCTGCTAGAGGGCAATAGTTTCACGGCATTCATTACTTAACTGACCCAGATGTTCAGTGAGTGAGGACGGCTGTTACAGGACTGAATTTGGAGGATGCTACTTTTGGTACTGGCACTACACTTCAGTGGGACATTTCCACAGTTTCCTCGATCTGAGCACCTGCTTGGGTGTTACGGAACAGTGCAAGGCAAGTTATCCAGGGCCTGACGAGTTGATTTTTTTATTAGAATTTTCAAATAGTAGACAGTACCCCAGAGGGGCTTAACAGACAAAAAATTACATACAAACAGACATAATAACACTAAAGGAACAAATACAACATCCCCCTCCTACCCCTCCACCCCACCCAGTATGACGAGTTGATTTTGAGGTGAATTCTTGGGGGTCATGCATAGTGGACACTATATGGGTAGAATTTCACCAAAGATCATTTGGTGTGGGTTTGGTATACTATTGGATTATTGGACTGTTTTGATGTTATGTGGTTTGCGTACTACAGGGTACTATGATACTTTTGATGACGCCAGGTGTTCTTCGTTATTGTGAAGTCATGTTAATAAATGGAAACAAGAAAGTTTGTTTATCCCAGCAACTCCTACGAAACCATGTGTGAAGGAAGTTGCAGAAGCAAATTCAGCTTCTATAAGTGGTCAGGCGAGGGAGCCAAAAGCCATGGCTTTTACTCAGAGATCAAAAACTATACTGTTTAATCTAAAACGAAACATATTGCATGTTGCCACCACTGTTTGTGATTTTAGACAGCATACTGGAATTCTGGAATCTGAGGTGTGACCCTTTTACACAGACATCAGTCCGGCTCTGTTACTACTGCTGGCTGAAAGGCAGAACATCAACAACATCACTCACTTGTATGTTCATATCACTTAAACAGAACCGCATGGTGGAATAAAGGAGCAAAGTTCCTACTTTGAACAGACTGCATAACTGGTTCTATGTTCCCTTTCTGGCTCTCTTTTTTTTCTTTTTTTCAGAATTCATGTATATAATCAAGTGCAGAACTTTAAATGTTCTCATGTAACAGTGAAATAACAAGCCCATTTTAAAACAATGCCATATCATCCCTCTCTCAGCAGCTGACCAAGATTTAAAACGTGTGTTTTCATACTAGTGTATTCAACTCTTGTTGTACAGATTGCAAATATGCAGACAGAAACACAGCCAAAGAAAACTATTTTTGCCCAAAATTCAGAAAGAAGCTACACTATGTATTTTCATGTATTTACTAACACACAGAAAAGTACTAAATGAGAAGGAGCGACAGATAACAAAGAAAGGAAAGAGAAAGAAGGTGGAGGAAAGCACTTACCCTCCAATCCAGCTACAAGATAGCAGGGTCAGGGTTTAGAAGAAGAAGAATAGGAAGAAAAGAAAGAAGGAACAAACAGAGAAACATAAAGACACACAGCAAAGCCACCAACACTTCGACACTAAAGCAGTTCTACAACAAACAGCAAAGCAGCACACAGAAAAAGAGTAACAATAGCAGTTGAAAACATATACAGTATATAAACAGGAAGAAGACAGACTAAGGGTTAGCTAATATGTAAAACATGTTGTGTGGATGACAACACATTGGGGAGTGAGACACTGATGTCTTCTCAGGCTACAGTAGACTGATGTAAAAACACAAAGTTAAATGGTGCTCAACAGACAAAAGTGTCCCGTGCTCACTTTTGTCAAACAATGGCCTTCGAGGTGATAGTTGGAAACAAAATATTTTCATATATTTAAATAAGAGGTGAATAGACAAACTAAAATGAATGGCACATCATAAAGTTAGCAAATGAAAAATCAGACAGTCATCAATGTCGTGTGAGAACTAAAAGGCAAAGAAGAATCGGAGATATAAACTTACAGAACTGAGATATGGGTGCATCAAGCTGTGGTGTAGTGCCCCCCCTCGAGTTGAGTTTCTGGACCTGGGTGGGAGGAACTGGCTTGTGTGACTGTCCAGTAGCTCGGTACATGGCCTGCACCCATAGGATCCGGTCCTGCTCATCATCACTGGCAAAGATTACAGTGTCACCCTCTTTCACAGCATTGAAGAATGTCCGACCGCCGTCCAGACCTGAGAGACGAACAAAGGAGGAGGTTGATTTATGTGTTATCAGGATCCCAGATTCCTATTTGTGTTCATACTTCAGCAGGGCTGTAGAGGTAAGAAGGGGGGTTAAACTATCATTTCCCGGCAGGTCTGTCACGGCCTTATTAAAAGTCACCCATAGAAGAGGCTATATAGTCTAAGAGACTAGAACAACTGAAATCAAATCATATAGACCTTACATTTACTCAATTACTGTATAACAATTTGAGGTATTACATTACTTGAGTGTTGTAATTTCATGTTACTTTATACATCCATTCAGACATTTCATTAATAGTTTAGGTCTCACTGAAGCCCAGTCAATAACCTCAGCTATTGACTCATTTTTGTTACAATGTCAACATAACAAGAAAATTATTTCCCATTTCTATAGGAAACTACAGTCCTTCAATCTATGTAATATTGATCAAATTTATGGTTTATGGCACAGGGACTTGGCAACTGAGTTTGAGGAGGAAGCATGGTCAGATGCAATAGCATCAATAGGCAAGATCTTTCTATGCAACAGGCTAACTGAGAACCAGTATTGGATCCTTCATAGATTACAACGCACGCCCCAGTCCTCTAACTCTTTCTATCCTGAAATCTCTCCCCTGTGTAGTAAATACAAGCAGGAGGTTGGGTCTTATATACATTGCATCTGGCGCTGCCCTTTGATATTTAAATTTTGGGAAAAAGTCTCACAGGAAATCAATCAAATTTTTGTTAAGACCATACAAATAGATCCTGGTTTATCTTTACTTAATCTTTCAGGAGAGGGACTCTCTTTGACAAGTGTCCAGCAAAAACTCCTGTACAAGTTACTTCTTTTAGCTAGATGAAGCATTTTATTTCAGTGGATCAAGCCCAGACCCGCATCTGTTAACCAGTGGTATGGAGAGATATTTAAAGTTCTGCCAATGGAGCGTCTGAGCTCAGTTTTAAAGGGGAACGAGAGTTATTTTGATAAGCTGTGGGCTCCCTTCTTGAACCGCCTACCGGGTGAAGTAGCAGACTTAGTACGTAGAGGCCGCTGCAATGTGGTTTGGCGCCCCCCTTGTTCCTCTGTATCACCCTAATGCTTTTTCTCAAGTGTTGATTTTGTTTTACTGATATGGGTGCACAGTCCCTGTTCCATGTATAATGTATAATGTCTAAACTGTAAACTCTCTTATTATTTTCCCTGTAAGGTCCATTATAGTATTGCTATTCTTGTATTTGTTTTATTTCTACCTGAATATTATTTTGTTATTTAATTTATTTAATTTTACATTATTTTTGCCTCTCTTTCCATATGTCATTCAGTCTATGTGATATGTTTCTACTTGCCTTTGCTGTCATGTATGTTCTCTGTTCTGTGTCTCTGTTTAAAAATGAATAAAATATTGGATAAAAAAAAAAACATCACATCATGCATGTGTAATAGTAAGGGTGTAGTAATGTGTAGTTATAATACATAACAACAAAAACAAAGTGCATTCATTGTGAAAATGGCCTAGTGACTGTCCAGCCAGGATCATTGGAAATTAAGTTTAAATGGAATTGTAAGCATAGGATTCAGATAGCTAGCCTAGATCGAAGCGGTTAACAACAGCGTCTTACAAATTAAAGCCTGATTTGAGCTTGTCAACCTTCACACAAGCATGTTGGTAATCTTACTAACTGATAAAAGAAGCAACCACCATTTACCATTTGCAACCAGTGGCAGCTTGTTATTATGAGGGAGCTCCCTCCAACATCATGAGCAAAAAAGCCTTTTAAACATGTTGAACATATATTAATTAGATAATATTACTTTGCTTTTACAATGCACCTGGTACACCGTAAGCACCTGTGAGCATTCATCAGAAATTGTTTTCAAATTGTATTTGGTTAATTTCTGTCTAGATTCATATACTTCCTGGTGTGGGCTGGCCAAATGAAAGAGTATGTAAGTTCTTAAACTTTTTGCAACCACAGAACCTGAGGTTGCTCTTTAATTGGTTGTTGCAGATTTACCCCTAGACACCCCCACTTTTATTTACAGCCAATAGGTATTGATTCAAGTTTTTTTAAACTAATGTGATTGGTCAACAATTAACATCAAAACATATGTTTTTTTTATTTTCTAGTGATATTATTTTATTTTGAGGGGTGTTAAAGAGGCTAAACTATGACCTATGACTGGCACTAAAGATAACAGCGTCTCATAGCGGAGGAGCAGCTTTTCAGTGTATGGCTGTTAAAAGGGAAAAGTCCACCATATATATCTGTGTCCCATTTTGATGCATCACATCACACAGTATACAGGAAGGACCCACAGAAGTCAGTCAGTTTGCAACAGACACTGGACTTTGAGAGTGTGCCAGCAGTGAGGGCTGTACGCTAAGGGAATGGAGAGCAGGGGTCAGGTGCCAGGCAACAGTGAGAAGGGGCGAGATGAGGCTGTGTTTTGAACTGTCATATAATGTTCGGTAAACAACGGTGTTGAATTGTTGAAATTGTTACCTGGCTGGGGGTCTGTGTAGTCCACTGTGTAGCCGTCCAGCTGCAGCAGTTCCACAGGCTCGGCCTTCTTTTCTCTGTAGCTGCACATGGCAAAGGTGTACTGACTCACCTGCACCAATCACACAGAGACAAAGGGAACTTTACATGTTATGTGCATCATTTTCAGATGTTAACTACTGACCTACCTTCAACCACTGCCACATTTCCAAGTGGTCCTTAGGAGACCTTCCCAAAAATGAATGAATCATTCATACACCACACCTCTCAAATGTCCAGCAACACCTTCAACATTTTATATTTAGGTATTAATTAAATTTGACAAACAAAGATCAATAGATATTTTAATAATCAATCATTCATATGCTACGTTTTATTACGATGAATGGCATACTGTAATTTGTATTTAATTTTAAAACTTGTCTGCAGCAGATAGGCAGATATAACATGGCAAGACTAAAAAGATGATCACAGACTCAACCCTTTGATACACAAGCTATGGAAACCCCTT